GTGAGCCGCGGCGGCTGGCCTCCGGTTGGGAGCGCAAATGAAGAAAATACAGGGCTGGACGTAGGTGGCTGGCGAAAATATGTGCGTGTGGTGCGTCTGGTTGTCTGTCAGCCCTTTGCCTTCCCCTGCGGGGGGGCTGGGGCTGAATTTGTGTTTTCCTCCATATTGTTTCGTTAAGACTGCCCAGCTCGCTGTGATGAATTTTCTGCAGAGTAGACTTTCCTGAGTTTATAACCCCAGCGAATACAGTGTGATGGAGGGAAGGGAGACGGGCGGCGCTTCCCAGGCTGCAATATTGCTGCAGAACTGTTCTGAGATTTTTTTTTTTTTCCTGCTTTAAGAGGATGTGAAAAGCTTCTTCATGTTATTAGAAAACATGGCCTTCTGTGGTTAAACGTGTCTTTATGGTTTCTTTAATCTTGGAAATGCCTTAAATGAATGGGTGTAAACTTTTCTTTTTTAATAGTCTGAACGTGAAGAGCCAAAATCATTATTTTCCTAGAGCTTGAGGTGCCAGAAATAGTCAGCTGGAGACTTTACACTTGTGTTCTAAGGTGAAGAAGGATGAAAGATAATTGAAAATTAATAGTATTTAAATGTGCGAGGAGGGTGTCTGAAAGCAATGGGAAGGCCAATTTACTATTAGTGAGAAGAAAAATGACACTTTCACAGTTGTCTGCAGAGACTCTGGCAGTTTTTTCCTTCCTCAGCTTCGTCTTTGCAGTGCCATTTGGCAGCGTCGAAACCTTCCGTAACTGCTGGGTGGAAGTTGTCTACGGTATCGTCTAATGTGTCAGACCCCCGGCTTTTTGGGGCAGTGTCAACACTGACTCTTATTTCTGTTTGTACAGGGCAAATGAGTGATTTTTCCCTGCCAAAGCTTTGTAAAGAGGATATTGCTGTGTAGCGCTGTCTCCCACCCGTAGGTGTTTGGGGGTTTCTTCTTGGAGGCAGGCTCTGGCGGAGCGGCGTTGGGAGAGGAGCAGGGTGCTCAGCCAGGAGCAGACAGTCGGCCGCAGCTGAGCCAGCAGCGAGACGACTCTTAGCTCCTTCCCTAATTGCAGCCCCAAGCCGAGATTGGTGGGGAGAGTAACTGGGGATAGAAAATAAAGGGATGTTTTGCATTTCTTGATGAAACAGTAAAATCCTTCGCTGGCACAGGAGTGAGTTCCTGCAATTCGGATGCAGCGTGAGCGGTGCTGCTGCCTGGTCTGCGCGCGCTGCCGGGGCTGTCTGGGCGGCGGGGAGGGCTTCCGGATCCTCCTCTTCCTCCTCCTCCTCCTCCTCCTCCTCGGCATGTCGTGGGGATGTGCGTGCATCCACTTTCTCTGCTGCCTCCCAGTGTATTTCAAGAGGGAAGAGGGTGCTAGGCTGTATATTTTGGAGGGGTAAAGGGGAGTGGGGCAGAGGAGAGGAAACGTGGAGAATAAATGCTTCAACAGCGGTGCTAATCCTCTGTCTCCCTTTTTGCTCTCCGCCTTCTCCAGACTGTGTACAACCTGGCCGACGTGGCCTGCAAGTGCCACGGCGTATCGGGGTCCTGCAGCCTGAAGACCTGTTGGCTGCAGCTTGCCGATTTCCGCAAGGTGGGCGATGCCCTGAAGGAGAAATACGACAGCGCCGCCGCCATGAAACTCAACAGCCGGGGCAAGCTGGTGCAAGTGAACAGCCGCTTCAACGCGCCCACCATCCACGACCTGGTCTACATCGACCCCAGCCCCGACTACTGCGTGCGCAACGAGAGCACCGGCTCCCTGGGCACCCAGGGCCGCCTTTGCAATAAGACCTCGGAGGGCATGGACGGCTGCGAACTCATGTGCTGCGGCCGGGGCTACGACCAGTTCAAGACGGTGCAGCGCGAGCGTTGCCACTGCAAGTTCCACTGGTGCTGCTACGTGAAATGCAAGTTGTGCACGGAGATCGTGGACCAGTTCGTGTGCAAATAGGGCAGGGGCGAGGTGGGAGGAACTGCTGCCGCCTGCCAGCGAGGGGGTGCAGGCCCCTCTCCCCTTCCACAGGACTTTCTCCACTTTATTTATAGAGTCCAAGGAGTTACCGTCTTTTTTTTTTTTTTTTTAAAGGGAGGGAGGATGGAAAAAGAAAAAAAGAGAGAAAAAAAAAAGAAAAATATTAAAGGTTGCAAAGAGAAGTGCCTGGAACCCTCTCTGCATCCATCCCAGAACTGTGTGTGGCTTATATTTTTGGCAATAATGGGGGAGAACCTGAGAATATTTATTTTACAAAGTAAAAAAATTTGACTTTTCTTAAAAACAATAGAGTAGTTTGAGGGGAAAATCCAACATATCCTAATTTAGTCCCACGGGACATAATACACGTGCAGTAGGCAGAGAAACCATGTAATGCGCTTGGGATGTTAGAACAATTCATACGGACGCGAGGAACACGCAGATCTGCGCATGACTTCTAGTTGCAGACACTAGAAGTTATCAGAACAGGGTATATAAAGCTGTTCAGTACATTTAGGCCTCTGTAAATAAGGGGTGGTGTATTCACGAGGTTCATCACAAAGTGCAGTGTCAATCGCATATCTGAATGTGCCCACTTAAGTACACAATATCCTCCGAGGGTAAAGAGCATAGGATCATGAAGGCTTCAGCTGTGCTAGTTGTGATTCATTGGGTTTGGTTCCACAACCGAAAAAAAAACCACACAAAAACAAAACGGGGGAAAAAAACTGCCCTGGCTAATACTAATACTAAAGGCATTCTTCAAGGCAGAATTTGTCCTGATTAATTTTTCAACTATTTGTGATGTTTGAATATCTTGTGCTACAGAGCGCTGAGAGCAAATGAGGTCTCGACTGCAGTGGTGCCCTGTAGCCTGGCTGGGGAGAAGTTGCACGCTTGCCAGCGGTGACATTGCGTGCCTGCAAACAGTTTTGCTCTCCCTGCCTGGAAAGCCCATAGAAAATAAAATCCCCAAATCTGAAAATGCCTTAAAAATGGTGTGATAGTTGGCTACCTTTGGAAACACAGCTTGACAAATAACTCCTTTAATTTTATGAGAAAATAAATCATTAGATATCCACTCTTGGAATGATTGATTCCTTTTTTTCCTGCAGATTTTGGGAATGCTTTCACTCAAGGAGACAATAGTTTCATATTTTAATAACATTAAGTGGCTGTTATAGTTCAGTGAGATGTTGCAGCAATACCAGATTTATCATCCTATGTCTTTAATACACATGCTTTAGATAATATATTGCAGATATACACTACAACTGTTCAGACTATACTTGAGCAGTTATATATATATGGGAAAACTGTGGTCTGCTGGTGTCTGATATTTCAAAGCTTTTTGTACATATATATTTTAATGATTTAAAAAATAATAAAACTTCTAAATTACAGGGGCAGTTCATCCCCCATTTTCCTTTTCAGATCTCTTCAGGTTTTTAGATTGATTATAGCCTTTTTGGTGTTTTTATTTTTTTAATTTTTTTAAGAAAACTTTTATAATTCAAAGGTTTTAAGGATAATCACAAAGAAGCAAGCCTCTTCCCAGCCTTAGGACTTTCTTGGGTTGTTGCTGGAGGCAGTACCCTGCACTTGAATTGATAGTGGTTTGGAGATCGCTTCTCTTTCACTTTCCTGTAAGGGCATTATTGATTATTGCTGAAAGGAGACACCTTACATCTAAAATGTGCTGCATTCGGCCCTTGGTTTTCATGGTTTGCAATGGAAATTGTTGTTTGTTGAACAACGTGCGTTCCCGCAGTGCTGTGTATTTGCACAGCATTTGGTCAGTGGTTCAGATGCCTCTTTCCAACTCACTCCCATCCAGTAAGTTGAAGACATTGATTTTACAGGTATCAAATGAAGAAAGTCTCTCACTTTAGCCTAGTTGTACTAAAGCCTTAACTTTTCACGAGCCTATAAGCTGTATCCTAAAAGTTCATCTTGATCATTTATCAGCTTCTTAAATGGCGCTTTATTGCTCTTAATTTATTGTACAAGGACATATTTACCCCTCATTTTCAGATGTTTGCAAAGAATATCTTTAAAGTAAGACAAATAAATAAAGCACTAATTCATTGAATATGTCACTTTTGGTTTTTATTATACAAAAACCATGGTCATTTTTTTCATTTGCTGAATCACCTTTTACTCCCTTTTAGTGACTTGTGTCTGAGCAGAACTGAGTCTAATGATCCTGGCTATTAAAACACTATTTAATGTAAAATATTTTACTTGTCATTCAGATATGTAAATCTTCTATGTCCTTTCCTCTGTTCTGTACATTTAATGTACATATTTCTGTCTTGCGTGATTTGTATATTTCACTGGTTTTAAAAAAAAGAAAGGATTATGCCATAATGGAAGATAGACTATAAAAATAAAACTTTGGTTGTATATTGGGAAGTGGTTTTAATTATCTTTCAGAGGAGGATTTGTTAAAACAATGAACAGAGTTGATTTTTAAATTTACTACGTGGTAAAACAGGGAAGTGATTGTGTGCCAAACATACAAAGTACATCTTGAAGTTTTATTTCTATATTAAGAAGGCATACAGATGTAACTACTTTTTAAAAAGAAATCCGAGCCCAAATCCTTGCAAATGTGAACTACAAAGCATTTCAGAGATGGGTAAGAACTTATTTCACAAGGGCTAGGGACCTGGTTTAATACTGCTTTTGTGCATATGGCTTTCAGGGTTTGCTGCAGCAATTGCGGGCGGTGGGACCTGATTCTGTAAACGTCTCGACTTACTTGAGGAATGCCACTGATGTCAGCTGAGCACTTGTGTGAGCAAAGGTTTCCGCCGTGAGGACGCTAAGGACGGGGTTACGTCCAGTTTGGGTTGCGCGTGCGGTTTCTGGGGTGTGGTGCCCCGACCCATCCGTCTGACTAAACCTAGTCTGAAAAGGTGAAAACTCACCAGTTTTTCCTCAGACCCTTGCCCAGAAACTGAGTGTGCACATAGGGAACAGTAAGAATCCTTAAAAACAAAAAAAAAGTAAAAATGCAGTGAAGTATTAGAAGCAAGGAAGTAAAGCAGAAGAGGAAAATTAATGTGAAAACCAAAACTTCTGTTGTGGGACTAGCTTTTCTGTGGACTGATTTCCTGAATAAGTCACAACATTTTTTTTTTTTTTCAGTAGGAGCTTGATGAATTAGTGGCCTTTCTCTACCTCTGTTGGGCTTTTTTTCCCCCCCTTTTTTTTGTTCCAGGATAACCTATGAATATATCGAAACTTCTTCTGGCTGCCAAGAATGTATTATCCCACAAACCAGTAGACCAACATCGTGTGTTTAAAATAGCGATTCTGGGCAAATGCAACGTTCTGTGGTCCTATTACTGACATCTGGTTCAGTTTTCCTTCACTTGTATATTGACCAGTATTCTTTATTGCAAAAACACAACCCCTATTTAGGAAAGTCAGCATTTTTTTTGGACTGGATTGTATTCAAGCGCTTCCCAATAACAGAAAAGTTAACAAAATATTTCTTTATTGGCAGCAGTTAAGTATCTGTGTTCAAAATAGTCATTATGGGCTCAGATACAAGAGAATTGTTTTTAATTTTCAGCAAAGTTTATCTAGTCAATTTCATTAAAAATGCTGTTATCCCCTAGGTTCGACTCTTACATTTTTAGTAACTTTCTCAATTTTTTTATACTTTTATGGCTTTGCCAATACCAATTTTCACCCTGTTGTAACAGAATATTCAAGCCACAGGTGTCGTCTGGAAGTGTACCAGGAGCAGAGAGGGACCTGGATGCTGTGAACGGCACCCTTAGAGTCAGGCACCGAATGCGAAAAGAAAAAAGAAAACGAAAACCTTTCCTTTTCTTAGGGGCGTTCTTAACAGAGCGATCTTACAAAGATGGTACAAAACTTTCAGGTATTAGTACTGAAGTTAACAGAAAGACTGCTTCCCTTTTGGATAAGGACTCTTGAGAAATAGTATCTAAATGGTTATGGTGTCCATTGTAAAAGGAGAGTTTTGCTGAATCAGGAAGGATGATTTTTTTTCCGCTTGACTATATTCTAGAGGAAACCATGAAAACAAAGCAGGGGGAAAAAAAGGTCTGCTTAAAAAAATATATATGTAGCTTATGTATATACTCAGTTGACTGTGGAAGTCTTAAAATTGCTTATCTATTTTTTTACATAATTTTGGAGGGCAATCCAGATCTGCTTTTTAGATCTTTAAATATTATTTAAAATCCTCAATAGGAAAATAAATTTTTTTTTCTTCCCTACTACAAGCTCTAGTAAGTATATTCACGTTGCTGTAGGAGAAGTGAACCACATAGGAGAGTAGTGAGGGTTTGTACATGAAATTTTATCTTTTTTTAAAAAGGTGTGATAAAAAAAATCAAATCTGTTTAATTCCCTGCTGTTATATGGGGTTGCACGTGTACATTTGTATATACTGTGCTGGTATTTTCCAATTGTGTTGGCCAAATTCTGCTTTTAGTTATGGTTAGGCATCTCTCCTGACTTTGGTGGTGTCATTTGAGCCTGACGTTTTCAGAAGAGACGTGAAGGCCCCCTGCTCAAAGAAAATGCATATGAAATACATCAGGCTTTCTTCTGGCCTCGTTACTTGAACATAGGTAACTGAACTGTTGTGAAACAAATTCTGGGGCTGCAGCTGCAAAAGCAGTAGTACGGTGTTTTCGCAGCGATGTTTTCTCCTCGTCTCCTAATTTGCCAGTTGTTTCCCAGCACGAGCAGAAAGTCTCGAATGCCTGTCGGATGTTTCTCATGGTGTATTTTATGAATGTAAAATAATTCTTTGTCAATCACCATTTCTATTACAGAGATGAAGTTAGGTAATCTGGGCTCTCACGGTCTGCAGATCTCTTACCTGTGGCCACATCGCCGGCCTGAAGCGCTGTTGGGCAGCGCGATGTGAGGTTGCTTTTGGTAACGTCTCTCAAACACGGGCCATGCAGTGTGAATATTGGTACACCGTATGCTTTTACAGCTAATGTTGGTTTATGTTGTGTTGTCTTTCCCAGCAGTTCTGCTTTGTCAAATGGTAATTGAACAGCAGCAGTAAAAATACTCGGCTGACGGAGAACCCCTGGCCACACCATAGGCAGTTGTTCAAACAGTTTCTGAACCGGTTTGACCCACTGCTGATTTATTCCAGATCTGTTGCAAGGAATTTAAAAAATGCAAACTGAAGTGTAGTGTTTGTAGTGTGGCTCATAGGGTTTTTGTTTTGTTTTGTTTTTTTAGAGAGCAGCTCCTTCCAAATTTCCTTTTCTTTAAAAATTTTGTAAAAGCCTTCCTCCGGGAGGGCACGCAACCCGAGCGTAGGAAACGGTCTCAGCGATACAAGGTGGTAATGTCCGTGCACGAGGCAGCTCCTGCGGTGACTCCCAGGTCCCGAACGCGAGTTTGCACTGCCAGGAGGAGAGACCACCCCTCCAGGTGCCGGGTGCCTTTCCCCCGGCAGTGAGCAGAGGCCAGCAGCTGCGGCTCCCGAGTCATTGCACAATTGCTTTCAGCTGCCTTCTGCCTCTTCTCCCTATCAGGAAAGCTGTCCTAGCTCCTGGTAGGTTTTCCTGTTGCTTTTCAGAGGGAGAATTGCCTCTTTACACAGCTTTTCTCAAGGAAGGGCTGGGGCTTGCTTTCAATAGCTATTGATTTTAGAGGAGGTAATGCTTGGTGAGCGAGTGTTTTTAGGACTTCTCAGATAGCTCGTTGCTTTGTAAATCGGCAGCCTTGGGATAGCAAGGAATAATCTCTGAGCAAACTTGAACTGACCGTTATTGGGGCAGGGAGATTGAGGTTGTTAGTGCTGTAGTTTACTGTTCAGCTGTGTTTTTGTGCTTTCCTTTGAGTGATAGGCTTCACAGCGTGAGAAAGAGAGCTGCTACCTGGCAAGGCATGGATTAGTGAGAACCTGAGAAACTGGGGCAAAGACCAAATTATGGTGGGGAAACGTGATGACTTTGTTAGCTGTCTCCATTGGTTTTGCTTGATGTTCATAGAAAATCAAAGATCTGGATATTTGTGCTTTCTGAAGAAAAGTGTTCCCTTGATAAAGCTTTTATCTTATATAGTACATTTGTGGGTAAAGAGCTTGTAAGTAAATCAAGTCTGAGAACCTAATGAACAAGAAGTAAAACCCTAGCCAAAGAAACAGCTCCAAAAACCACTGTGAAGAAAGTGAACAGTGCAAGATGTGTTAAACAAATACTTTTAGAGTTAGTGCTGTTATAGCTCTCAAGCAGACAAATGGTTACTTTTGTCAAAGATAATATGTCCATTATAAACCACAGTGCCATTTAATTTATATACATACGATTAGGCAAATGCTAATGATAATAATCTGGGAACAACTCCTTGGTAGTTATATGTGTTGTATAGAATGACTGTTAGTTATGAATTCTGGCAATCCTCAGTATGCACAATGACATGCTTGTACCTAAAAATAGGTGATACATTTTTTTAAAACTTTATAGAAAGTATCATGTACTGCTTCTTGCATTGCGTTATATAAATTGCTTTTCTTTTTTTTTTTTTTTTTGGCTACAGTGTTCTGGTGTATGTGAGATTCTGAATAACTGACGACAAATATGGGGGAGATGCAATATCTTGGCACAAGTGGCAGCCAGAAAAGCTGTACACAACCTAGGGAATGGGAGGTTAAAGTTCTTTTAACCCTGATTTTTTTTTTTTTTTCTCCTGTGGCCAGGCAATTCGTATAGATCCTGCACAACAGATGCTTTGGAAGAGAATGACAAGGGGAGTTTGTGAACAGAAGACGTAACTCACTCATAGTAAGTGTATATTCCAATCTAGTAGCGTTAACTTTGCAATATCATTTGCATGCAATATATTACTAACTGAACACGTTGAATTCTCAGATCTGTACTCAAATGCAAGTTCTGTACTACAGCAGAATAAAACTAGAATAGCTCTGGTAGTGCCAGAGGTAATAGGAGTGGGACGTGCCCCTTGTTCTTATGTTCCCGTGGACGTTATTGTAACCTTCCTAAGACTGAAACAATGTCTTCAGGGTTTATCTGACTGAAATGGTAGATTCATCATTGCAGAGGATTTTGTGATTAATACATCAAATTCGTATTTTTTGTGGGTGATGATATATGCCTTTTCTGGCAGGGGGAGAGAAGGACATTTTTGGAATGGATCATGTAATCTGCTTTAATTTGTAATGTAATTTCCGATGCTCTCTGTGGCTAGAGAATAGGTGGAGATATCTGTGCCTAATGTAGGTTCTGTCAACTATCGGGTCTCATTGTCCTCCTAGGTGGTAAATATTTTGAATTCTTTAAGTTACTGTGGCTTTACTACTTTAATGCTTGGCTCTTGAAATAGAGATCTTTAAAGACATCTGGCCAGTGGACCTTACTGTATGAGATCCATCACAAAG